TCAAACCTACCAGCCACTCTTTGGAAGGAAGGTTGGGCAATCCTACTTCCGTAGTGATACTGCCTCAGAAACCCAAGGAGGGGTCACTATGAGTTGGGTTTGACTCTATGGCACATAACAACAACAGTCAAATTTGCATAATCAACAAAATAAAGGTAAACTGGTATTCTCTGCCATTGTTGCAGAACACTTCATTGTACTCGTGAGGAGCCTGTATATAGACCAGGAGGCTGTCGTTGGAATAAAGCAAGGGGACACTGCATGGTTTAAAATCAGGAAGGGAGCGCATCCGGGCTGTACCCTTTCACCATACTCACTCAATCCATATGCCGAGCAAATAATCCAAGAAGCTGGACTATATGATGAACGTGGCATCAGGATTGGAGGAGGAAGGCTCAATCACCACCAGTGATACGCAGATGACACAACCTTGCTTGTTGAAAGTGAAAATGACTTGAAACACTTACTGATGAAGATTGAAGACTACAGCTTGCAGTATGGATTATACCTCAATGGAAAACGAAAATCCTCACAACTGGATGAATAAGGAAGGACATCATAAATGAAGAAAAGATTTAGGCTGTCAAGGATTTTATATGACTTGGATTCACAACCAACACTCATGGAAGAAGCAGTCAAGACATGAGACGTCGTGTTGCACTGGGCAATGTGCTGCAAAAGGCCTCTTTAAAGTGCTAAAAAGCAAAGCTGTTTCACTGAAGACTAAGGTGCACCTAACCCAGGCCGTGGAGTTTGCAATCACGTCATATGCATGTGAGAGCTGGGCAGTGAATAAGAAAACTGAAGAAAAGTTGATGCGTTTGAATTGTGGTGTTGGCAAAGTGCTGCAAGTACTATGGACTGCCAGGATAACGAACAAATCTGTCCTGGAAGAAGTGCAGCCGGAATGCTCCTTAGAAGCAAGGATGGTAAGACTTCATCTCATGTACTCTGGACATGTTATCAGGAGGGACCATTCCTGGAGAAGGACATCATGCTTGGTTTAGTGAAGGGTCTCAGAAAAAGGGGGAGACCCTCAACGAGAATGACTGACACAGTACAGTGGCTGCAGCCTCAAGCGCAGCAGATTGAGGACAGTGCAGGACCGGGCAGTGTTTTGTTCTGCTGTAAACAGGGCCATTATGAGTTGGAACTGACTTGGTAACACCCACCAACAAGTTCAGTCTCAATTTCTCCTTTTACAGTAGGAGGGTGACCTTCTGTAAGCTGCCCAGTGTGGGCAGAACTCACCAGGCCCTGTAGTTGGTGGTCCGTCTGACAGTGACCCAACCCCCACTGCTGGCCTGGCTGCCCCTGGGCCCCCCACCTGCCCACCGTTGAGTGTCCAAGACCCCTGTGGCCTTGAACTGTTTCACCAATTGCTCCATCTTTTCTTTGTGCAGTTTGCTCTTCTCTCTGATTTACTTAAAATTTTTTTATTGTGATTTGGGTGAAAGTTGGCAAGAGCAAATTCATTTTCCGTACAGAAGTTCATACACATTTTGTTTCATGACATTGACTGCAATCCCCACCATGCAACAGCTCTCTTCCCACTTCCTCCCCGTGGTCACCTCTTCCCTGTGTCCTTCCCTCCCATACACTCCCGCCCCCGAGCTGCCTCCCTGTGCAAACACTGCCCTTCTGTTTTCCCAAGCCTCCAAGGAGTGTACTACCTGATGTAAATGTTCACCCTAAATGCTGGTCTGTTGTTTGGCTGGAAGCCACAGGAGTGAGTTCAGTTCCAGACCTGAAGGGTGACTAGGTGCCGTAGTCTCAGGGGGCTCACCAGGCTCTACCAGACCAGCAAACCTTTATTTTTTTTTTGAGTTTTGTTCCACATTGTTCTCCCACTCTATCCAGGATTTCTTACATAGATCCCCTCTGAGTGGTTGACAGTGGTAGCCAGGCACCATCTAGTTCTTCTGGTCTCATGGTGATAGAGGCTGAGGACTGCATGGTGAACCAGTCCCCCAAACTAATTGTTTCCATGTGTCTTTGCTTTTCTTTGTTCTTTGCTCTGGACGAGGAGCTCTCTGGTTTATTTCTAGTGTCATTTTGGGTTCCTTGGGACAGAAATGCCACTGTGCAGGGGTGCTGGGGTGCCTCACCCTTCCTTGTTTACTCAGGGCAGGTGAGGGGTTTTGAACAGCATGATTTCAGACCCTAAAATAGTCCTTCTGCAGAGAAACTGGAGATGCCGGCAGCCACTACTATGGGGTGTCTAAGGGCAGCAGACTCTCAAAAGCAGTTTTCAAAATTCTTTAAGCGAAATCTCCCAATTTCTTAGCGTTGTCTGAATATTTCACCATCATGGCGTCTTATCCTTGGCCTTACAGGCCTCATGTACAGGGGTCCAACCTCAGACACCATTTCCTAGCCAATGAAATCTAGGCACCCCGATGCCCAAGGAGGGTAACACTCCCCATGAGCGTGTTAGCCGTGGAACTCTGGGAAGGAACTATGGTCATGCAGTGCCTAAGGCATTTGACAGCTCACCAGAAGGTCGGTGGTTCAAACCCACCAGCCACTCCACAGAAGGAAGACAGGGCAATCTACTTGCATAAAGATTTACTGCCTTGGAAACCCAATGGGGGTCTCTATGAGTCGGAATTGACTTGACGGCAGTGGGTTTTTGGGTTTGGACTCCTGGGAGCAGTGAGGTGGCCGCTGGGCCCCCACCTGGCCTTCTTCTGTGTGTGAACGGCCTGGAGGGCTGTGGGTCTGCATCCTCCACGCCTCCTATCTGTGCAGAACCCCCTCACGCCTCCTCTTGGCTTGGCAGTTCTGCCTTACAGCCCATTTGGGCTACTGCCCCCATCCCCCTCACCCCTTCCACATCAAGGCCAAGTTCCCCACCCTTTCCAAAGCTCCCATCTGGCTTCAGCTACCTTCTGGTCTTACTCACAACAGAGAGGTGCCTTCCCTGCTCCTTCCTGATGAGGAATTCGACACCTCCCCACAACGGATCCCAGGCCTGTCTCCCTGTGTCCTGCTCCGAGCCCTCCAGCTGCGGAGCTGGGCTTCCTCCTCCCCCTGCCCAGGTGGGCCGTGGAGCCTGTGGGCCTCCTGGTGAATGCCAAGCACTGTACACAAGATTCCCCAGCACTTTACTTGGGAGAGGCAAGTGCCAATCAGGAAGTGGGGGGTATGGGGAAGGAGGAGACAGGATTTTGCCAGGCCTTGGTGATGGAATGCACTTCAAGTCAAAACACGCCTACTCTCTCTCTCTCTCTCTGTGCGCCCACAGTCCTGGCGGAGCTTCAAGTCCACGTGAAGGAGTGGAAAAGGGCCCGTGATCTTCCCGACTCCTTCAGAGGCACAGTGTGCCTGCGACACAGAATGGCCACTTCTCAATCACACTTTCCCACCACTGTCACTTCCCAGCTTCTCCATCCACACCTGTGGACCCACGCAGACATGCTCAGGACCAGAGACCTCCTTGGCAGAGGCCTCCTTGGTGCCTCTAAGGTGGAAGGCGTACCTCCTCCTCACCATCCCCTCAGAGACCCTCATGTTGAGGGCTGTCTGGAAGACAGGGACGTGTCCTCCGTTCGATACAGCCCCATTTAGGGGACTTGGTCATTGCTGTTGGATCTGAGCAAGGGTGAGATGGCGTGAAGCCAAGCAGAGGTCCCTGATGAATTCTTCCAGTGGGCAATCCAAGTGGGACAGTCTCCCGTTCCCCCTGCCGACTAGTGCTGCCACCTCCCCTCATGTCAGTGCCACCGGGTGACACCACTCAGAGGTGAAAGCCCTCCATAACCCCCAGTCACGACATACCTCCAACTCTTGCTAGGCCCAGACACGACATTTCCAAACCAGCGGGACTTGACCGGAACCTAACGGCCACTCTTTCCCACCTTCCACCATCCTTCCTGGCAATACCTGGTCCCCACACTGTGACCTATCCCCCGATATACACCCGTCCGCATGGGCACACGCCCACACACACACCCCTACATGCTTGCCTTCACCCAGTTCCTGGCACGAGCCATGCAGTCTGCACCTTGGTCTCT